AAAAAAAAAAAAAAAAAAAAAAAAAAGAATAGACTATGGAGTTGAAGGTTGAAATACAATTCACTGCACCAACTACCTCTGCAGCTGGTATGTAAAATATAACAAGTTTCCCCTGCTCTTTAAAATTATGTTTCAGTGGGAATAAACAGACTAATACAGAACCCCTGGGACACAGAAGGAAAGTGTTGTAAGAAAACGGTAAAGAAATCCTGAGGAATATATTTATCTCACCATCCCTATGGTGCAGAAAACAAACCCAGGCCTCACGCATCTTGGCAAGAACGAGCTCTATCCCTGAGCTCACCAGGCCACAGAATACATTTCTGAACGTAGGCTGCTGATTTGAAAATGAAGAGAGAGAAGTTATGGTAGAAAAGAGAACATATGGACAGTGAACAGCAGACCCTGCGTGGAAATATTCCGCAGCGCTTCTCGCTGTGAGCGCACGCCTGAAGTCTGAGAGGCAGATGAGGCGTGCAATGGAGGCGCTGACAGGCGCGGGGCACAGTGAAAAGGAACGGAGGAGGCCTGGGCAGGAGCGCAAGCTTCGGAGCTGCCAGCACACAGACGGTGCATTAGCCTGGACGAAATGAAGGCGTGAACACAGGTCAAAGAGGCATGAGACTGAACTAACGGGCTCTCCACAGCTTGGACGCTGAAAAGGAAACAGTAATCTAACAGAGGAGGCCGGGACAAAGGAGGCCATTTAAGTGGAAAGAGAACGTTATTTCAGACCAAGTGCAAGCAGAATTTCAAGAATGAAGTGTGCCACATGCTATGAATAGGTCAAGTAAGACACAGCGAGGAATGTGAGGAATATAAATTCCTAGGGGATACTTCAAAAATGATTTAAGCAGGATTTGCTAACCAGCGTCTGAAGGCCAATACAGCAAAGGCCCTGACTCGGAAACACCCGAGTCGCACAGGTGTACAGTGTAAGATCCCTTTCGCGGGCTTACAGATGGACTCAACTTAGAAACAACTCTCCTGGAATGGGACTCATTCATAAGCCCGGGACCTACTGCAACTACGTTGCACTTGCTGTAATTACTCAATGTTCAAGTCTCACAGGCGGCAAGGACTTGACCCTGAAGAGTCATTACCTGGTCTTGCAGATACTCGTCCACAGTACCACCGTGTCTAAGATTTGCTAACAGCATTTCGGCAGCTTCAATTCCAACCTTGTCTGCATTAACACCTAGACAGGCAAAACGTAAAAAAACAAAAAAAACCTAAATTACTGAGAGACAGAAGGTTTAGCTGAGAAATCCCACTCAGCACAGGTACAGTATTATTTTAGGTCTCTGAACTCACAAGATGCACCTTTCAGGTGATCTTTAGCTATTTAATCTTCTGAGAACTTGGCATATGCAAACACTATCTTTATATACACTGACAGAAAAAAGAAACAGGCTGCTTTGGCTTGTTTAAAAAGTACTAATCATAAAGTCAGCTTATAACTAAGTTATGACCCCCTAATGGTATGCCTCAATTTCAAACTTTAAAACTCAAGATTACACAAGTTATAATTAGGTATCAGAATTAAAAACTTTTGTTTTGTTTTGTTTTGTTTTGTTTTTCCGGTACCGGGAATCGAACTCACAACCTCGCGCTTGCCAGGCAGGTGCTGTGCCGCTGAGCTAAATCCCCAGCCCCCAGAATTAAAAGATTTTTTAAAGTCAGGGAATTAAGTTTCATCTAAAGAAAAGCAAATAACATTCTCAGGTCAACTACTCTAAGGTTCTGGTCCCTTTAAGACTGGAACAGATATAAGATATAAGACTGTTCAGAATGTACATCAGAATATTCTCCCCTTCCTCTACTTCCTACCTCTTCACACATACACCAAACCTTGGTACAACATTGAAAGCAAAATAAGCCTACTAGAAGTAATGGGATTCTCCAAACTAACTCTCCTAAGGGTATTCTTTGCACAAATGGGGCTGATCTTGTTTCCACATGTATTTTAAGTAAATTTAAGTTAAGTAAATTTAATTAACTCTACTTTTTAAAGCAGGTATTATAATAATAAAGTTTTTTCATTATCAACTGGCCAAATATTTACAATACTGAATGAAACGTTTAAAATACATTATACTCTAGGAATCTTGATTTTTTTTTTTTCTCCCTTTCTAGTGCTGGGGATAGAATCTAGGGCCCTGCATATACTATGCACATGTATGTTCTTTTCTGTTTTAGTTTTTGTTTTTTGTTTTTTTCTGGTACCAGGGATCGAACTCACGACCTTGCGCTTGCCAGGCAGGCACTGTGCCGCTGAGCTAAATCCCCAGCTCCCACATGTATGTTCTAATTCCTAAGTTGCACGTGTTCTACCAGAGCTGTGTGAGCTGCATTCTCAGCCCCTAACATTCTTAAATAAGCTACTTAGCTTCTTCTATTTCCTCTTTTAGATGGAGGAAATAGAGACAATATTTATAAAGAACCTGTTCCCAAGATCAGTATATAACAAGCTATTAATAATGGTAGTATTGAGTAGTCAGTATTACTTGTTCCTTTGTTAAGGAAACATAGAAGATACCTGTGTTTCCCTGAAACTAAGATCTAACTGGGAAAGAAAAAGCCAGCCCCAGTAAGTCTATCCTTGCCTACCTGCCATTACAGAGCAGAGCCAAGAGAGAATAGTGAGGTATGTATACTCTTCTGCAGGACACTGGCCATCACAACGGTGACGACCAGGTATGGCTGGTTCTGGTTAGGCTGGTCCAGTCAGGTCTTACTTTCAGGAAATACGTTAGTCATGTATTAGAGAATTACAGGACAGCTAAGTGCTAAGCTCTATGGTACAAATCATATCTACAACAGGAATTTACAGAAGGAAGAGACAGTGAGGCTCCAGAATATTTTCAGAGGTTCCAGTGAGCACGAAGGACTTAAGCAGGCCCTTGAAAGATGGCTGACACCAGGAGGAAGAGGAAAGTCCATCCAGGAGTAAAGGAAAAGTCCTGGGAACACCCTAAACACCCTTAACCTGTACACCCGAAACCCACGTGCTCCAAAGTTTCAAACCTTTTGAAGACCGACGTAACACCAAAAGTGGAAACTGCACACCATGGGACGGTTTCCCCCACAAAATTATTTATTTAAAGTCCTGTGTACAGTTATCTTCAGGTTAGGCCTATGAACGTCTGCTTGCACACAGGCCCATCCCCAAACACCTCACTATTATATGCAAATACCCCACAATCTAAATACATTTAAAAATCAAACACTGTTTCAAGCATTTCAGATACAAGGTATTCAGGCCGGATTGGAAAGCCCAACAACACTGAAGTTTTCTGTCAAGAGGCAAAATATTTCAGGGCCACTCATCTTCCTTCCTACCCACCTTACCAGTGCATAATGGGTGAATGCACCTGCATTATTACCAGGTATTATTACTACCAGCAGCCTGTGGAACTGCACAGATGAAGAAAGTATGAGAACTGTGCTTATTCGTATAATGCTCTCCTCCTCGCTCCCAAAGGAACAAAATCCTAAACCTCAATTCTTTTCTAATTGTCAAATAATCTGGTATTTTCAGTGCTTTTTTAAACAGCCGTTTCTTTAATTTTAATGCTGCGGGTTTGTTTTGTTTTCTTTTGTTTCGCTTTATTTTGTTTGTGCTGGGGCCTGAACCCAGGGCTTTCTCACTAAGCTCTATTCCCCATCCCTTTTATTGTCTTTTGAGACAGGATCTTCCTGGAAAGCTCGAGGTTGTGAGTTTGATTCCCGGTACCGGAAAAACAAACCAACCAACGAAAAACAATACTGAGACAGGATCTTGCTAAACTGCCAAGCTGCCCAAGCTGGTCTTGAACTTATAATCCTTCTGCTTTAGCCTCCCACAACATTAATGTTTTATAATGCAGGACATTAAAATGAATTTACTTATTTGGGTACTTATTAGCTTATAAAAAGGACAAAAACTATAGAACGCTTATCAGATTGAACAGAAAACACAAAGAAACTTATTTTAGGACATTGGAAATATATATGGGAATCGGGCCTGGTGGCGCATGCCTGTATCCCAGCACTTGGGAGGCTGAGGCAGGAGGATTGTTTTGAGTGTGAGGCCGGCCTGGGCTACAAAGTGAGCTCAAGGTCAGCCTGAACTGCATAGCGAGACCCTATCTCAAAAAGACAAAAAAAAAAATTTAATTAATTAAAAAAAAAATATATATATACATATACATTCATACATATATATATATATATATATATATGAATTTTCACATATACTGAATACGGAAAAGTCTTTCCTATGAGTTAAGGAACAGGACTGATTAGAGGCATAATTCATCTTAGCAGATTGTCCTGCTCTCATAGTAAAGAACGTAACTACCTGAAAGACCAGAATAAACAAGAGTGGGGCTGCAGTTCTATGGTAAAGTGCTTGTGCAGCATACAGGAGACCATGGGTCAATCCCTAGCACTTCACAGGGGAAAAAAAAGAATAATCAAACAATGCACAGATACTCAGTAACATAAAGACAAAATACATCCTTTCCTTTCCTTTTTTTTCTTTTCGAGGTGTTGGACATTGAACCCAGGACCTCTCGTATACTCAGTAACCACTCTACCCTCCAACCAATCCAGCTACATCCCTAGCTCTACACTGTGTTCATACCGCAATTACGTGAAGTTGGAAGGGATCCTATGCAATCATGCTCCAACCTCATTTTTCAGTGACAGAGGACTAAAATTTAAGTCTTCTTGCTTTTAGTTTTCCATTACAATACACTGCCTCAACCTAAAACATCAAGATCTAAACAAACGTCGACATTTTTACGGAGCCGAGGAACGTTACAGCAGGAATGCAGGGGTGGTGGCACACCTACAATCCCAGCACTCAGAAGACGGAGACAGGAGGGTCACCACGAGTTCCAGGCCAGCCTGGGCTACACAGCGAGTTCAAGGCCAGACTAGACAACATAGCAAGACCCTACCTCAAAAAAAAAAAGAAAAAAAAAAATACAGCTAGAAGGATTTTAGGGTACTCCAGAGTAATTTTCTACTCAAAATCATTTTAGTAACTAAGACAATGATAAAAACATGACATGACTGGTTACAGCTTTCAGCCTCTACTACGTATGCTGTCAGTAACAACCAACTAATGTTGCTGCTGGTAAAAACTCTTAAACATTAGGAGCCAGTGTCCAGTACTTTCCAGTAACTTAAATCAGACACGAGAGAGGACCTGAATAATGGAGGTTACAACATTATCTCGGAGACCCACAATATACAGACAACCTACACTACAAGCGCAGACCCAAGATGCCTCTGCATTTGCTAATGCTATCTCACTTGGCTGATGTACCTGACAAAAACGAGAGGGGACCAGGAGAAATCAGTAATCCCAACAAAGCTGTGGCTTTTTCCACCACTGTAAGTCTAAGAAGAAGGAATACTCACTCTCCAAGTGTACTATCCCAAAACAACTGCAAAGTAAAAGTTTTCTCACGAAGTGAGAAAAACTATGGGTTAAATACCAGAAAATATGTTCGGGGCTGCTCACCAAATTCCACGTAATAGAATAACAGAGTAACGGTCCCTTTACAATGTCAAGGCAACACCGTTAAATCACCATCTCTCTCAGCAAAGGACCTCCCCTACTCACAAGCTGCACACGCATCCGCTACTAGGTCGGACGCCTTCACGTTTCTTCCCCTTTCTTCCCTGACCTCCCACATCCGACGGGTCACAAGCTGTCCACTCACCTTTCTACATAAACCGCTGTCACGCGGGACTCTCCTCTAGTGGCTGTCACAGTCCCTGACGCACACATAACCTCACCATTGGGCGGCTGAGCTGTAACAGACTTTGGTCTTTCTACCGCCAGCATGGCTTTCTTGTAATTCTCTATATAGTATGGAGTCTGAGAATTGATTTTCCAAAGCATCTCTTATCCCTCCTTAAAGTTTTTATATTCTCAGGATGAAACGTGAAACTTCTTCCACATGCCAGCAGCAGCCTTTCAAACTCTCGGCCTTTGTTGGTCTCTATTCTCACCATTCTCCACAGCCCATCCAGACCCAACACTTAAGTGTACTTGCTAAACACCCAACATCCTTTTGTGTCAGCATGGTCCTCTCTCCTCCTTAGTTCCCTTCTAAAAAACAGTGTATCTTAAGATATAAACACAATGCTGGGAACACATATAGTAATACAGTCGCTTTAGAGAAACCAATTAACATCACCATCATCTCAGTTACCCGATTTTCCCTCCTGGGGCAAGAGCTACTATAACCTCCTCACTCAGCGGAAACCCTGACTGTAACACTCCGTGGCTGAGGTTCTCGTGTTATACAGGGACCTCCGGGTGTGTTTCTGCTAGTCTGCATCCTCTGATTTACATCTCCCCATCTGCTCTGCCCAGCCCGGCCCTGTAACCGCTCCTTTATGTTCTTTCTCTGGCTATCTGAGCTCTTCTTTTCTTACATGCTACACATTACGACTGAACAGTATCTTCTTGTGTCTGACTTACTTCAGCAGCATGCCCACCATGTCCATGTTGTGCCCAACGGTAAGATCTCCGGTTCTAAGGCTCAGTAATATTTTAACGTGTCTGTGTATCACTTTCTCTACCCGTCTGTCTACTGGACATCTAGCTGTTTCTGTACCTTGGAGATTATGAATCATGGTGAGAACATGAGAGTGTGAATACATGACATGGTTTTATTTCCTTTAGGATTAGGAAGAAGGACCGCTGGGTCATATGGCAACTGCACTTCTAGTTTATTTAGGAACCTCCATATTGTTTTCCAAATTTCCCTGTACTACACAAGTTTCCCTTTACTCTCATTTTTTAAATCTGGCTACCTTCTATTTATCCACCTACTGGAGGATCACTGAATGGCCAAAGCCAGATTTGGGGCTTATGAGCCCCCAAAGAAGGATTCCTCCTCTGTGTTTCCCGGGAACCAGACTAAGCCAGGAATCAGGAAGAGCGGGCTCACTTCGAACTCTGAGCACAGCGTCTGGGACCTCATGGGGCCCAGCCGTAAGACCTCCCACCGCAGAGCGAGCTTTTACTGCTCGCAACGTGTCTGTTCACGCCTCTGCTTTAGACTGCATCACCTCTGCTTCTTAACACTTACAGATACCCACACTGATCCTTCACCGCGCCCACTATGTAATTAACTCATGCTAAGTATGGACTTTAGCTCACTACTTCTCAAACTTCAACACACTTTACAAGTCCCTGGAGAACTCACTAAAACAGACTTCCAGGTCCCAACCAGAGATTCCTTTTCTTCAGTGCTGGGGATCAAAGCCTTGCACGTGGTAGGCAAGTGCTCTACCAGTGAGCCAAGCCACTCAGAATTAACAAAAGGTCTAGCACAGGTCCCAAAATTTGTATTTCTAAAAAACTCAAGTGACACCCACACAATGCCTATCTACCAGCCACACAAAAGGGCAGAGTTTTAAACAGAATTCATTCATGTGAGGTTAACTGGAGATGTGAATTTTATTTATTCAATGGTGTTGATTATATTTGATGCCCAACTAGTATCTAGAGCTACACACTGACAAAACTGATACATTTTTATATTCAGTGGTAACAATGACCATTTTTAAAGATGACAGCACAAAAGTAATTAGCTACTATAAACAACTAGAAATTCTGACTGGTAAAAGTAACTGTAAATATTAACGAACAGATATATGGAATTATCTCTCCTTAAAATGCCAAATCTTTAACAAGTTTCCCTTCCCCAGAAATATTCAGTATTTTCTAATCACCAATGTAATAACTAACACAGGAAAGAATCACAGTAACTGTTAAAAGCACTGGCTGTGAACTGTATGGGAACAGGATAATCAGAATGTCTGAAGATCCTGTCCCACACTACTTATGAATTGTAGAGGAAAAGGCAACCTTCATAGCAAGTAAATCTGGACGACACCTCCTTTAACCAGGTGATCCCTTACCAATACAGGGCAAACTGACTGTATGTATCCCATGATGCACTGCCGGAGCATGTACACAAGATCACCTACACAATATTCTTACTTAAAATGTTTAATCAGAATAATTTAATTATGAGATAATCAGGCAAATTCAAATTGGAGTTTTCAAAATGTCAGTTATACCATGAAAAGAGAAAAAAAAGTAAAGAGAATATTCTGTATTAAAACACAGACTAAAGAGCCTGGACAATCAAATGCTTTGTGTGCTTAAAAAGAAAAAAAAGGGGCTGGGGATTTCGCTCAGCGGCAAAAGCGTCTGCCTGGCAAGCGCAAGGTCGTGAGTTCGGTTCCCGGTACCAGAGAAAAACCAAAAAAAAGAAAAAAAGAAAAAAAAAAAAAGCCAGGCATGCTAGTGTACAACTTTTACCCCAGCACTTGGATTTTTTTTTTTCCCAGTACTGGGAATCGAACTCAGGACCTTGTGCTTGCCAGGCAGGTGCCTATGCTGCTGAGCTATATCCCCAGCCCATACTCCAGCACTTGGAAGGCTAAGGCAGAAGAATCATGAGTTCAAGGCCAGCAAAAAAACAAAAACTAAACTGACTCAGCCCCCACACAAAAGCCCCACCTGGCTCTAAACACTATTTTGGAGACAACCTGTTAAGTCCAAGTATGTCTGGTATAACTACACATAACAAACAAATTCTTCAGTATTATGACTAGACAGGTATCACTCCTGGGACATACGTATATGCTACAGTACTCAGGAGGGAGGAATGGTGTCTGCAACTTATACTGAAACAATTCAGAAATATAAACAGTATGTAGCCAAATGTCCAAGACTGATGAATTCAAGAAATGTGCCTGATGACTAGTTGAAGCAGGCATGTAACTTTTCTACAGTTGTGGAAAAAATTTTTGTTTGTTTTTTTGAGACAGGGTCTCAGCTATGTAACCCAGGCTGGTCTTGAACTCATGTCAACCCTCCTGCCTCAGCCTCCCAAGTGCTGGGATTACAGGTGTGTGCCACCACACCTGGCTAGGTGTGAAACTTTTCCAAGTATAAAGTTAGAAGAAAGATTTAAAAGTTTAAATGACTCAAGAACAGAGTGAACTATACCCTCGTAAGCCTGTCATCCATCACCCTCTCTAACACCACAACCCTGACAAAGAACTTTACAGCGGCACTGGGAAACACAGCCCTCCTTCCGTTTATATGTACCTCGTTTACCAAGGGAGGAGCCAGCAAACAAGCAGCCAGTGGATGTCTCTGCAATAATACTGTTAGAAAAAAGAAAAAATTATTACCTTTGCCTGCAAATATGAAACAACATGCAAATACCACACAGGAGACCAGTGACTACTAAACAGCAAAAATACATCTGACCAGCATATTCCACAAGTGAAACTCTTCCCACACAGTGTGCTGCGGTGAAATCTAGACCGGCCCCTACAAGGCTCACTGCCTGAAAGCTGGGCGTTCGAAGGTGACGGGGTCTGAGGTGCATACTCATCCGTGCACTGACCCACGGATGAGTTTACAGCTCAAGTGCTCTTAAGAGGTGGGTCTGGCGGGAAGAGAAATTTCCCTTCAAACCATAAATTTAACAGAACAAACCTTTAAATAGAATAATTATTATGGCTTGACATATAAATGTCCCCCAAAGGCCCACGCGCTGAAGTGGATAGAGTCCAGTGGAAGGAAGGGAGGCCACTGGAGGGAGTGTCCTTGAGGGAAAATTAGAACCCCAGCCACTTCCTCTCTCTGCTTCCTTGTCACGAGATGAGCCTCTATGCTCTACCAAGTGCCCCTGCCTTACTATTAGCCCAAGAACAAGGAAGTCAAGCACCCACTTGAAAAATCTCTGAAACCACTTCAAAAATCTCTGAAGCCCTGAGCTAAAACAAATCTTTTCTCCTTTTAAGTTGTTTATTTTGAAAGTATTTTGTCACAGAGACAGAAAACTGACTAACAGTAATTATTTCTGGGCTCTCACCCAAAGTCTAAAAAATGTCCATTTTCTCACATGATTCCGTTTCCATTGCCAAATGCTTGGTCCTTGGGTTCCTGAACAGGCTGAATGTTCACATACAGGTCCCTGATCTCCTTCCTGATGCATCGTACAGCTGCCGCCGCCATATCTTTTGCCACCTATGTTGACAATAAACAATGGAATTATTATTTGGACAAGTTTCAAAATTAAAGACCTACCAAATAATTACCTTTTATACTTATTGTTTAAAAATTTGATTTTCAAGAACAGACCATTAAATTTGTAAAAATCATACTGAAAAGATGGATTAAAAGACAAGCCATTTACAAATTTCAGATGACACAGTACTTATCAAGATAAGCAGACACTTCTGAAAACATTTAGAAAACTTACTTTAAATGGCAAAACACCAGCAACGAAAGCTCTTCCGTATATCTTAGTCACAGAGCCACGATCAGTTAAATTTATTGGGGTCAACTGTTTAACTGGTGACATTCGAACAATCACTTCACCACCCCCTTTTGGGTAATAGCCCCTATGAAAAGCACAACAAATATCCTCATAAACCAAGTGCATGACAAAAATGAAGCTCAATTTTACATTAAAATACTGTGATCAATACTGAGACAGGAAACTTATGGAAATTCTAAATAATATTTTAGGTCTGGGCTGTCCACTACGGTGGCCTCAAGCTACATACGACTATTTTAAAAAGTAACGTTTATGGCTGGGGGTGCAGCTCAATGGCAGAGTGCATCCTTCGCATACGTGAAACCCTAAATTCAATCTCCATCACCTAGACAAATGTGGCACTTCCTGTACCTCTATTTGGGCTGCTGAGGCAAGAGAATGCCTCGGACCCAGAAGCTGAAGGCCAGCCTGAGCCACACCGCAAGACTGCCTCCTCAAAACTAACTAAATAAAAACCCCCAACTTTTTTGAATAAAAAATATGTAAAATTTGGAAACCAATTCACTAGCTATCTTAGCCATATTTCAAGTGCTCAACAGTCACATCTGGCTAATGACTAACCCCCTGGACAGCAGAGATAAAAACCATTTTCCTCAGTGTTGGAAGTTCAACTTGACAGTGGTGTTTCAGAGTATGTGCAAGCTCCTTAACCTGGATCTGTTTTCTTTCTGCTATATTCCAGGGCCCACGACAAGGTCTGGCAATAGTAGGAGCTCAAACAAGTATCTGGTGAATATTTAAGTAACCGAACACTAATAAAATTTTAATTCAAATATTTAGTGTCATTTATTCTACCGCAGACGCTAAAATGACAGTGCTTCCATGCTGACGCATTCTCCATCTAGGAGGGAGAGGTCCCACAGTGATGGGGCATGCAAGGCACAAAGTATGTTTGAAGAGCAGCAAGCACCCATGGAGTTAGAATTTACGACCCCCTGAAATGAGGGGGAGGAAGGTGAAGCTAGACAGGTAAAGTGGGGCAAAACCGCAAAGCACTGAAACGCCATGCCAAGGAATTTCACCTTGCTATTGTGTAACGAAAGGGAACCCTTACAGAGCAATTCCCTACATGATGGGCTTCTCGGGTGGAGGAGAAGCCCTCACCACCCCACGGTGCACTGTCCAGTGTCTACACACAGCGAATCACTCGACATGTGCAGGTGTGTAACAGTACTAGATGGGAAAGTACCCACGCTAAATTCCCCTCAAAATATTCCTCCCAAGAAATAAACGAACATCACATCTAGCTGATTTTAGACTTTACATCCCTATAGCTTATTGTTCTCAAGTAACAAAGGGCATTTCCTACGAGAAATGTAAAGTGCAATACACTGTAAGAATGACAGTTCACTAAAGTTGAACTTCTCCACTATTTTTAAAAGCCCAGGTAATGGATCAAAAGGACAAGAAGTAACTTACCTCATTTTAATGTCACAATTAAAATTGAAACCAAATTTTTCAATGATTGGCTTGAAGACCTGAAAAATCAATTGTTACTTTAGCCATCAATATTCACTGTTTCAACAAGTATAATTATTAAACAAAAACTGTTCTGTACTAAGGTGCTACAGGTAAGTCAGTCATCAAGGACATGTAAGCTAGATCCATTTTTCAAATGAAAAAACCAGTATGAAGCTAAATTTTGAAGTTTAACATTTAATCAAGTCTATTCATATCAATCTAATAAAAAATAAAGAGCCTCAGGGTACTTGACCCTAGTGGTTATTTGATTTCAAGGCCAGTATTTCTGGAGCCTGCTCAAGGTACTATACATTAGAAGAAATTATAGGGTATTGATGAATAGCATTACATTTCGTTTTTCTGTTTTTAAATACAGTTGAAATCTCACTCTATATACAGTATTTTTCCATCTAATATTGTAAACACAAGCATCTTCCTAACATCATAAAATTCCTTCTAAATACTTGAATGATTTCATGACAACCAAGCATAATTTATTTCTCTCCAAGTTAAATATACATATTATATAATGGTAATTATAATTTATATGATGTTCTGCTCAAATACTTTTTGAACATTTACCCTTTGCTTCATTTTGTAATATGTAATTAGGGTAGTTTTCTTGAAATGGAATTACTAGGTAAAGAAAGAATAACTTTCACTATACATTCTATCACACTGACTTTTAAAAAGACTATACCATAAATTACAACGGCAAAGTCTCACAGAAGGACAGAATTGAAGCCTAAAGTCTAAGGCAACTCTTGAGATCTACTGGAGATTTACTAGATTCTCTGGGTTACCTCTCATGTATGCAACAGGTTTGCACGTTACTGAACTTTTTTTTAAAAGTAGTATAGCTCAGTGTTAGTGCGCCTGCCTGGCATACATGAGCACCAGGGGAAGTAAAAACAGAAAGAATTTTAAAATGAAAACCCGAGGAACCAGGTGTGGTAGTGCACTATTATAATCCCAAGCACTCAAGAGGCAGGAGACTAAGGCAGGAGAATCGTGAGTTCGAGGCCAGCCTGGACTACATGGTGAGACCCTGTCTCAAAAAAAAACACAACAAAAACCCTGAGAATATCCAGTGCTGGGAGGATACAGAACATCTGGAACTCCCACGAGGTGCAGATGAAAGTACAAAACCATGTATGGATGCATGTTTCTCATAAATCAGGCATCCACACATTGTAACAACCCAGCAACCCCACTCCTAAGTATTTACCCAAGAGAAATGAAAATGTATATTCGAACAAAAACCTGCACATAAATCAGAGTACAGAAAAAAATGGTAGTAGGGACTTTACTCATAACTGCCAAAAACTAAAAGCAACCAAAAGCTCTTCAACGAATAAATGGATAAACGAACTGGTACATTCATACAGTAGAGCTGATACAAGTACCAGTATGAGTCTCAAATTTATTGCGGTAAGTATAAAAACAAGATTCAAATGCTATATACAGCAGTACTCCTTTACATGACGTTCTAAAAAAATAATAAAGAGAGAACTACAATATGACAGCAAACAGCAGAGAGCTGGAGGACAGGATTAACTACAAGAAGTCTGAGGAAATTTTTTAGAGTAATAAAACTATTCCACATCTTTATTCTGGCTTCTGGTTCAGAGATGTATATCTTTGTCCAAGTATCAAGAAACTATACTACACATTAAAAAGGGGAAATTAATTGTAAAGAATCATGCCATAGAGGCTGGGGATGAAGCTCAGTACTTGCTGAGTAGGCACAAGGCTCTGCATTCAATCCTCAGCACCAGCATCAAAAGAAAAAAAAAAAAAAATCACATCACAATAAACCTGGAGGAGAAAAAAGATCATACAGTTCTGGTATCCCTTATGTGAAATCCCCAAAAATGTTCAGGACCACAAGTGTTTTGAGTTTCATACATTTTCAAATTCATAATAGTTGCATTTACACAATCAGGTATCTTAGAGATAGGGTCCAAATCTATGCATGAAGTTCCTTTATATTTCATAGACACCTTGTACACATAGCTTTACGGCAGTTTTATACAGTATTTGTAGTACATGCTGCAATTTGATTGCAATCCATTACATGAAATCAGCGGGGAATTTTGTCCTTGTGTCACCACGATGCTGTTTACGAAGTTTCAAGATGTGGAAGTATTTTATTGTGTATTTCAGATTTTCAGGTTAGGGATGCTCCACCCTCACTGTTTGAGCATGCCAGTACCAACTTTTAAAATTTTTAAAAATAAAAACCTGAAAAGCCAGGCATGGGGGTGCACTACTATAATCCCAGTACTCGAGAGGCAGGAGAGGAAGGCAGGAGGATCACCCGAAGTTCAAGGCCAGCCTGAGCTACACAGTGAGTTCAAGGCCAGCCTGGACTACATAGAGATAACCTGTCTCAAAAGAACAAAACAAAACAAAAACACAAACCCTGAGGATATTTTTTTTTTTTTTGGTTTTTTTCTGGTACTGGGAATTGAACTCATGA